TAGTCGGAAATGTGTGGAACTAGTTTGTTAAAAGAAGTCTTAGTTTTTATGGGTCAGTCTTACATCTTTTCTAAGTGAAATTTTATCTTTTCCTACTATGCAGATGAGTTTATGTTTAGGGCTCCATGGGAGTGAGATTAAGCACATATTAATATCATAATTAAGCAGAAACATCTCTGGAAGGGAAAGCTTTGCACACCTGAACGTAGGTCAGAACATGGCTTTGGCCTTCTGCTTTAATCAGTACCAATCACCATTCTAATCTAATAAAAGACTGCGAAGTTAACCCACCCCCTCTTCCTTCACTACCTTCTTAAGTACTTTCCTCTATGCAGGCCTAACCTACTATTTAAAGCCATAGTAAACCATTATGGTGAGATTCTTTATTTATAAAGCATTTTAGATGATCTTGAAATGACTAAAGTTGAGATTGTATTGCTCTTTTTTGAACCATATTCATCTAATTTATCTAATCATTTTAGTATGATTGTATGTTATTTAAATAAATATTTACATGAGACTTAAGTGCTAAAAGTAATGTTAGTCTTTTAAAGGTTTACTGACTATAATGGTAGTATTACCCCAGAGCAAACTATTAAGTATTATGAGATTATGGTTAAAATTCCTTAGTTATTTCAAAATTTTTCCATGGAATAAATGCTATATAGAGAACTCCATGTCCCCAGAATAGGCTAGATGAAAATGTAAGAATCTTTGTCATTAGTACAACGGTTTTCAGTCATGAAACATATAAACTACAGAATCAGGCAGACCTGGGTTTGAGTTCAGCTCTGCAACCTAATGGCTACATAACTTCAAACAGGTTACTTAGCTAGTCTATATTTTTATCTACTAAAGAGAAATAGAGTAGCATTTACTTGCTAGGAGTTGCTTCAAAGATTCAGTAAGATGATGATGATGGTAGCAGCAGCAGCAGCACACTGACTTCTGTGCTGTGCCAGACACTAATCTAATCACAGTATGTTTCAAAATCATTACATCCGAACAGTTGCCTTATGCAGTTAATGCTGCTATATCTGGTGCTACCTGGAATTAGCAAATACAGGTAATAATAACCACACTACCAGAAGTCAGTGTGTCTTCAACATTTTGTGACAAAAGGAATATATTGAGAATGTTAGCAGTTTTTGAAATTTAAATTCATATTAGATACTGTTTTGTTTAAAGATTTGAAAACCTGCTTATCTATTTCTCTTTATCCTTGCTCTCTTGATATCTTGTTTAATTAAAACTCAGAATAAGGATGATCACCTGTGATTGTTCAGCATATACTGCCCCTTGGGTAGGTAATGCATACATGGAGTTGATGTGGAGGAAGTACTTTTAATGTCCTGTAGAATAACAGGTTATAACTATAGTCTACAGTAATTAATTATACATCTCAAAATTACCAGAGAAAAGTTTCAAGGCTCCTAACACATAGAAGTGATAGTATTTGAGGATATGTAAATGTTAATTAGCTTGATTTGATCACTACATATAGTATATGTATATTAAATTATAGTACTGTACTCTAAGTACAAATATTATGTCAGTTAAAATAAAAATGTCACTTCAAACAAGTGATACTTTATTCTTAGTCAAGGAATCAACAGAACAGAGGTGTGGAGATGGATGGATGGGTAGAAAATTGAGACAGCTGACAAACCCATTGGCTACTAGAATTTATCCAGGACCTACATTATTTTCTACATTTTTTGTGGTGGGGAAAATTAGGTCTAAAGACCCATAAGCAAAAAGATAGACCCAGACACACAAAAGCTTGCCTGATAATCTTAAGTTACAATAACCAATATAAGCAGTTTTTACTGATTTTTCTTATAGCTAAGTGACTGTGAAGGAAATGACAGTGGGATTTAAAAAAAAAACTTTGGAGATAGTTTTTGGTCTTTTTCCCATCTTAGCCAATAAAATGTATTACTTTTGGGGGGACTTTTCTAGTTTTATGCCACATTATCAAGATATATCTGGGAAATTTCACAGAACAGCTATAAGACATATGTAGTCTCTGCATTTTGGATATTTGGCTTTTCTTCTACATCACAGTGATAGCTTCTACTGAGGACGGGAAGGAGTTTTGCTAGAGTGCTAGAGACTGGCAGGTGGTCTTTATGAGCACTTTCAGCTATGCTGATTCAGACAGAACACCCTGCAGCTCTGGTTAAAAAACAAACAAATTTTTAAAAATAGTGAAAAACATGAAGCATATGAACAAGTATTTGGAGTATAATACATATAATCCAAAAGCTTAATTTTGAGGAGTTTTAGAAGCCCCAAATATTCCAAATATAAATGTATTAAATACATAAAATCTAGGATTAACCAGACAACCTACAGGTAACAAAATAGATAGTGATGATGCGAAATTACAATCTTACACATTAAAAGGTAACAACAGCACCAGTATAAAGCCATGGTCAACTCAGTATACCAAAGAAGCACAGACACTTCTCTACACAAAATAGCAACAATTTCTACTATCCATCCACCCAGTTTCACCATTTCCAAGCATAATGAGAGCTTTGCAGTGAGGCAAACTATGTGGTAGCCAGATCTTACTGGAGTTTAGAATTGATTGATCCTAAGTAAATACTAGCCATATTCTAATTTTAGTGCATAGTATATAAATCCCAATTTTAAATGACTTTAACAAGTCACTTAGTAGGTTGCCAGTAAGGAACCCCTCAAAGTAAAAATGAAAGTTAATGACACTGTGCATCACTTGCCAGTGAAAGTCCCTATTTCAAGTGTGTGTGCATCTCCATCTTACAGTCAGTGAAAGGCCCATCAGGAAACCACTGTAGGCAGCTGTGGACCAGCCTTTGAAATCTTCCCCCGACTCCTACATACTCTGTGCATAGTTTGGCTGGAGTATAATGAATTACCCAAGGTTCCATCTTAATTCAGTTTTCCTTTATTATAGTAAAGGAATTTTTTTTTACTATATTCAGTATTGAACACATCTTCTCAAGTAATGTTTGTGGAACCAGTTTGTAGAGCAATTTAACAATATATACTTAAGATTCCTTTTGACTCTGCAGTTCCACCCCTATAATCTCTCTAATAAATGACTTCAGGGAATGGCCAAAGATACATATTTATGAAAAAATTTATTGTAACATTGTTGTTAGTGCTTAGCTCTAGAAACAAAAGAAACTTGATGAGATGTTTGGTTAAAATATATCTTTACAGTGGGATGCTGTGGAATTGTTCAGAGGAAAACAAGACAGCTTTATATATATTGACAGAGCATAGTTTTCAAGACACCTTGTAAAGTGGCAAAAAAAAAAAAGGTGCCAAAACAGGTTTTTGTGATTCTATTCGTCTTTTTAAATATATAGACAGATTTATATATGGGCAAAATAATTTCTATCAAATACAAGATGCATATTAATGTATGAGGTGAAGTTTGTATTACAGTTGTGTATGTTAATGATTAGTATCAGGCCTGTCTACTGCATTGAAACATTTTGCTATAATTTATTACCTTTCTAGAGTAGATTGAAGAATAATAGGGATGCTTTTACTTTGCATGTTTTATGGTCATTTATTTTTAGTGAACATATAATAAAGGAAGAAAACATTTGCTCCTGGGGAAAGACCTAGAAAAATATATTCACGTTTAAGTGTTAACACAACAAAATAGTATTCTTTTTTTGACTCAAAATAGTAAGGAATTCCTAATATAAGCACAGTGGTACTTCAGGTAGTCATTTGAACCAAGGGAGTCTTCCTACGGTGTATAAAAATAAAAGCAGATGCTTTTGGTTATTTGTTTTCACCTTTTCATACATATTTACCCATACTTGTAATCATATTCCTTTATAAGAAACAGAGAGAGATACAAAGAGAGACAGAGCGAGAGAGGAAGAGACAGAACACCCATCCACCTATTTATGTAGAGAGAAGGATATGTATAAATACCATTTAGGCATTTAGTTGATTGTTTTCTTTGAAGGAGGCAAAGGAAAAACTGGAAGTACTTACTGTTTAATTATCTGGACAGAGTAAAGCTCCTTTCTTCTCCTTTCTTAATCTTAGCAAGTAAGGATCACTCTGCAAACAGTTTACCATGCCCCATCAACGACTGAATATTCTGTTAAGAGTGATTATTCTAAGAAGTGGGAAGGAAATCATTGCTTATACTACATTATTTGTTTTAGAGAATTTTATTTTTAACCATTTCTATGGGTTCTATAAACGATAGAAATCATTCAGAATGATTTCTATATATCTTTATAATCCTGGGGTTAAATTTCATTGAAATTCATTAACAATTAAGGGATGAGTTCCCATCTGAAAATGTTTGAATGTCATTTTGTTCAGAACTACAAACTTAAAAACATTACTTGAATGCTTTTATTATACAGATAAATTGGTTAATTCCCTCCCAGTCAGTATTGGATTAATATGAAATGCATATTAATGTGACAACTCAATGATATAATACTTTTTGTGATAGATTTGATGACAATGCTATTAGGAAAAATGGCCTCTGAAGTTGTAATACTTTAAAGATTTGAAGCTCTAACTGTATGTAAAGAGTGTTATATGCAGTAAGCCAATTATGATCAGAGAGCATGCTTGATATAGTAGTGTAAGAGCACAGAATATGTAATCATGCTGTTGAGTTTCAAATCCAGGCCCTGAAACTTCCTAGGTGTATGATCTTAGACAAGATACTCTCTCTTCATTGTTTTTCATATCCATAAAATAGGAATATAAGTAGTAGGTGGCAGAACTCTATTATTATAAAGTTGTACACATTTAATGAGCTGGCATTTATAAAGCATCTGTACATACAGTAAGTGTTCAATAAGTGCTATATGTGTGTGTTGGCAAATTATTTTTAATTATGGTCTAAAGGAAAACATTGAATTACAATGTTTTAAGTACCATTTGTAAATTGTTTTTCTGTTGTATAACAACTGGTTTTACATTACTTCATTTTGATTATTCATTTTTTGTTTGTATTGCAGTTACAAATTATAATACTGTGGTAGAAACAAATTCAGATTCAGACGATGAAGACAAACTCCACATTGTGGAAGAAGACAGTGTTACGGATGCAGCAGACTGTGAAGGTGGTGTGCCAGAGGATGACTTGCCAGCAGACCAGACAGTGTTACCAGGAAGCAGTGAAAGAGACGGGAATGCTGCAGACTGCTGGGAAGAGGAGGGTAAGCTTCCTTTTTAATAATACTCTATTCCCTTGATTCTTTCTTGAAAATATATATTAACTGAAAATATAAGTTGAATGAAAAGGTTGAAGTGAACAGTAAACTTATTGTATATTAATATTATATGTCCTACTTACTAAAAAGCTTACAGGGCCGGGGACTTAGCTCAGTGGTTCTGCAACCTGCCTCACAAGTGCAAGGTCCCAAGTTTAGTCCCTGCTACCAAAAAAAGTAGATTACAAAGCATAATAATAAAAGTTGTACAATGTGTGCGATAGATTGAATTTTAGTAGATTTTTCTAACCAGATTTCCACATACTGTTGATATAACTGAACCTATCTTTAATTTCATATTGTGACCCCCTAAGTGAAGAATCTAATTAGAAACAAATCATATGTTATTACAGTACAGTTTTACTGTGCAAAAATTCCACACACAGATTGGGAGTGTTTTCAGTGTGTTTGTAAGTCTTTATATACATATGTCAAGATCTCATAAGTAATGTGGGTCTTCCTGTTGCTTTAAACTTTGTATTGAAGTAAAATGTTTGTTTTTACTCAAGTAAAGCATAATGGAGTGAAAAGAACAGTGAAAATAAGGAGACCCTCTATTGACTGCCCCTTCTTGGGGGAAACATTGTTTAATATTCTTCTTCATCTGTCAAATGGAGAAACTGTTATAGAATTGCTCTTTTCCACTTTTCCTAGTAAACTAGTTAAATTATTTAGTTTATTTTGTCACGATTTAAGCATCAGGGTTGTTTTTTTTAAGTGTGGCTTTGGCAGGTAGTATGAATTAGGCTGGGGATCATGAACAAGGACATCAGCAAAGTGAAGAAAAGCAGCAAGGACTTGTATACAAAGTCAGTCAAAAAAGAGGCAGCCCAGCAAGAGTCCAGTTCAAGGAAGTCATGCAGACAAGATATCAAAACTAAGGCTAAGAAAATCTGGGGAAATAGGTCAAGTATGCAGGTCAGAGAATTTGGATAACGAAATGTGGATGCTTAGATAAAAGTCCAAATAGAGGCACAGGGTAACAGAAATTAAGATTTCTTCAATACAGCAACCCTTATAGTTTAACAAGGGACTTCTGAAATAGTGTAATCGGCCCTCTCCCACGTTATACGTTATAGTGTAGTTCATTTGTTTATTCAGCAAGTTCTGCAGGAATACAGTTGCAAACTTGAATAAGACTTTCTCTGTACAAAAAATGTTTCTAGCTTAGTGGGAGAGAGACGTAAGTTACAAATGCATTCTAGTTTGATGTGAGAGTAGATTTAAAATTATGTGAGAGGATCAAGGAGAAATATCCAAATCACAGAGGTCAAGAGAAATCCTAGAAGAATTTATGAGCAAAACAGTACTGGCCTTGTTATCTAAAGAACTGTTAAGGGTTAATTAGACAAGAGACAGGATAAGCCTCTTCAAGCAGCAGAAGCAACATGCATGAGACCACAGAGGCTCCAGCACACAGTGTTCACAAAAAGTGAGATAAGAGGTGTGAACAGGGCAAGAATATGAAGTGCTTTGTGTAAAAAGTGAAGAAATTTGAACTTTATCGTGGGAGCTCTGAAAAGAACATCACTGATACAAAATTTTAAAATGCCATAAGTACGGAGCAAAATAAAAAAGAAGTTTAGAGGAGGGAGTCAAGGCAGGAGGTAGCACCTTCAATAAAGACGTTGTGCCAGCTTAGGCAGGTGGTTAGTCTTTGAACCAAAGCAGTTAGGCCTTGAGCTGGGAAGGAAAGAGACATTGGAAGGAGGTATAGGAGACACAGTGTTTCAGGGTTGCTTGATCTGTGTGAAAGGCAACAGAGAGAACTGATCCAACTCCTGGTTTCCAGAAAGCAGAACCAGAGAAGTTGACTTGCTCATTTATAATTACAGCTTCTTAGCGGTAGAGCTATGAATCTGTTTAATATTGAACCCACAACTTTTTGGAGCAGAAGTTCCTTATGTATTTCTTTTCTGTGGCCCACACTGACTCATCTATGTAGTTGATACAAAATTTTAATATAGAAGTAGGAAGAAAGTATCCTGTCTGGAAAAGGGACAGATAAAGTCAATGAGATCGATGAAGGAAGAAAGATTAAAAATCAATGAAGAGGTTCTGTTTCTGAAAATATATTGGGATAGATTGTCCTCTGGCAGAAAACTTAAAATAGTAACAAAAAAATCTTTGTGACAGTTTTGATGAGCTAAGTAGATAGTAGGAAATTAACATGTAAAAATCTAAGCAAAGACAAGAACCATAGAGGTAAGTGAGGTCATAAGAAACTCTGTTCTTAAGATTTGCCCTGCTGAGATTATGTAAGAGGTGCTTTTCAGCCCCCTGAAGGAAAAACAGCCTGGGACAATCAAATAATTTAACAGCAGATCTTCCCTTAATATGTATTACATCTTGACTAGAAGAATGAAGGAAAAGCAAACCATCGGCCAACACTACCATCTTCAGAAATCAGCAAGTAAAAAAGTTGCATGGGCTCAGTGTTGGGGAAGTGGAGGATTGTCTCAGAGAACTGGTAACCACAAGCTGTTTTACACTGATTTGAAACCCCAGTTCACATGGCTTAGTAGCCTGATAAATCTTAAGTTGTATTTGCTTTAAATATCCATAGACACTAAGCAGGAGTAAATACCAAGTCTTTTGGGAGACTATATCTTCATCCTAGAACTACAGAAGTCTCCAAAATGATTAAGCAAGTAGACAGGAACATGAGTGAAAAAGATGCAGAAACATACCCACCCATACGGTTACTACAGTTATATGATTCGGGTTATAAAATGAATGTAGCTCAGTAGTAGAGTGCTTGCCTAAGCATGCACAAGGCCCTGAGTTCAATCCCCAGCACCACAAAACAAAACAAAGTGAATGTTGTATTGCATTTAAATAAAAAACCAACTTGAAATTAACTGCTCTGATGGAATAAACTAACCAATATATTGTAAGAAAAACCTAAGGGAACGTCCAAAAATCAAAAATATAATACAAATTCAAAATTCACAGAACAGATTCAACAGCAAGTTAAACGAAGTAAAAGAAAGAAATAATGAATTGGAAGGTAGGGAAAATGATATACAGTAAAACTCAAACAAAAATATGAAAAACAAGAAACATGAAAGTCCAATATGTGTCTTATTACAGACAAATAGACAATAAGGTAGCAGCAGTCTTTTAAGAAATAGTGGCTAAGGGCTGGGGATTTAGCTCAGTGGTGCCGCCCCCTGCCTCACAAGCACAAGGTCCCAAGTTCAATCCCTGGTACCAAAGAAAAAAAAAAGAAATAATGGCTAAGATATTTTTCAGAACTAATGAAGGACACCAGACTCCATACTCGAGGCCCCACAAATCCCAAGAGGGATCAGTAGGAGAGTGATATGAACAAGATGGCGGAGTAGGAGGCTCCACCCCCTGCCTCGAACAGAGCACCAGTCTCTGCTTCACTTGGAGGCCAGGATATTCTGTAGGGTGCCCCAGAGTCTTGCTGAGAGGTGCATCAAGAGTGGATGCTTGAGCAGAGCAACGTTTTAATCACCCTCCTCCAGTGAGCACCACTCAGCTACCAAAAGGGCCCTTTGACCAGTGATCTTTTTTTCCCACAGGGAAAAATGAGAGCAAAGGGAGCACCTGGTTTTCCCAGCAGTCATCTGGATGCAAGTAGAAACAGGTAGAAAAGGAAAGTGCACAGCAGACAACATGTGCTCTCAGCATCCAAGTGCAGTACCTGCTAACTGGAGAGAAGACTACCAAGAGACCCACTTGTAGAGCCCACAGAGTGATTCAGCTATGGACATCCCCAGCCAGTGGGTGCTTGTGCCCAACAACCTGCCATGCCCCCTTTAGACAGCCAACCTGCATGTGGCAGCTTTGAACCTTCACAGACAGACATGGATCTAAAATGCAGGAATGGGTCTTAGCAGCCAGCTCATATTTGCTGATTTAAGGAAACCCCTACAACCTTGAACTGAAGGGCATTGCCCTTAGGAAACGTAAATGGCAGGCCTTCAGCACCAGATCTGGCTTTGCAAGATCAAGAGAAGATGTACAATCCTAAACTTGCCCCATAAAAGTTGCCTTAGTTACTTTTTTGCATCACTGAGACAGAATACCCAACATCCAAAGTTGAAGGAAGAAAGGTGTATTCTATCTCATAGTCTGTAGAGGTTTCATTCTATAGTTGACTGGCTCCAAGGCAGGATGGCATGGCAGAAGGGTATGGCAGAGGAGAAACAGTCTATGGCAGGGAAAGCAATAAAGAAACAGCAACAACAAGCCTCCTTTTCCTTTTTATCCCATCCAGGGTACAAGCCTTTTGTGTGGTGCCACCCACACCCAGGGTGAGGCTTCCCGCTATCTACTCCCAGAACTATGCTAAGCCAATCAGTACACTAATTTAGTAACACACATCCTAAATTCACCCAGTTCTAAAAAGCCCCACCTATGAGTGCATGAGGCTTTGAGAGGGCATCTAGATACAAGTCATAACATTCTGCACCTGGCCCCTAAAAGATTTATGCTCATCCCTTTATGCAAAAGGCATTTATCCCATCTCTTAAGAGTTGCCAAAGTTCTAATACTTTTAGCATTGCTGCAAAAATTCAAGTCCAAGTTCTCCTCTGAGATTTAAGACATACTCTTAGCTTCAGACCCCTGTAAAGATGAAAAGAAAGTTAAACACTTCCAGTATACAATGGCACAAGATAAACATACCCACTCCAAAAGGTGCAAATAGGGGGATAGAAAGGAATGGAACCAAAGCAAGTCCAAAATCCAGCTTCTCTTCATGATAAAAAAAGAAATTCTGAGGAAAATAGGTATAGAAGGACCTTACTTCAAAGTGATAAAAGCCATATTATGACAAATCCACTGCCAACATTATACTGAATGGGGAAAATCTGAAAGCATTCTTAGGAAAATCAGAAAAAAGACAAAGGTATTCACTGTCACTACTCTTGTTCAATATAGTTTTTGAAACATTAGCCAGAACAATCAGGCAA